TTCAATGTACTGTTGGAGGAAAAGCAAGTTAAAAATACACTTCCGAAACTTTCAAAAGAGACATCAGGGGCTAGATTTACAGAAGCATTTAGCACATGCACTTCTTGAGCAAAAATAGTAATAGAGACCAGTGAGATATTTCACACGTCGCATTCATTTTCAGTGCCGGTGTATTTATATGTTGAAAACTATGACATTTATTATTTTGTTTGATGGATTTCGTTAAGCCTTTGCTAAACATTTTTTAATGAGGTATATAAATATCCCTCAACAGTACGTAATAATTTTTCATCGTTTATTTTAAATGCACCTGCGACTGCTGCTCTTCTATTTCCTTTTTCTTCTCGTTCAGTTTCTTCAACATCCAGCGGAAGTCAGTCACCCCATATTCAGCACAGATGCGCTCGTAGTCCTTCTTATCAGCGCTCAGCAACAGTTCCCAAAATTTCTCATCAACTTCTCCATCTTTCCTCTCCTCCATTTGTTCGACTCTGCAAAATCACAATACACCATGAACACCCCTTCCCGGGACATCCAGGGTCAGGCTGGACACATGCAGCTGCTTTTGCATTTCAAAAAAACAGATAAACAGGCCATTCGGAATGCAAGTTGTGCTAGAACCATCATTGGTATGATCAGCAAGAACTCACCGGGTCCTCAGGGTCTTTTTTAAATCGACTGCTGCTTTCTCTCGTTGCTCTGAAAATAAATATAGTTGCGCTATTCATCTTTATTCTGCAGGAGAAGTTTGCATTTAAAATATTTTGTTGTTTATTGCTTTAGTGATTCACTCGAGACTTAAACGCAAACAGACCTAATCGTGCCTCCTGCATTGCTTTGCTCTTCTTGAACCCAACTGGAAAAGAAGAGAGAAATTTTTTTCAGAAACAGCTGAGTCAGATAACTGATTCACTTGTTTTATTTGTACTTTATGCTTGCCATAAAATTCCCAGGTACAATTGTTAGAGGTTTTGTACTGACCTTCAATCACGTTAAGTGTGACTGTGACTATAGCACGTCCGTATTCATTACTTGCATAACATTTGTATGTGTCTGCTTGATCAACTCCAACATTGGGCATCTATTGGGCAACACGATTTCTTTTTATTAATACAGTAATACTCTATTACTATCGGTTTTAATTGATAACAGAACAATGGGAGTTTTAAGTAAGTGCTGTTCCTTTAAAAATGAAGATTACATTAGAATTCGAAACACAAGTAGATTTTTAAAGAGAAATGAATGCTATTCAACAAGTAGCAGACAATACGGTACCTGTAATTGATGTTCTCCTAAGACTGGATCATATGAAGCAACATATCTTTCAGGATCAGATACATCTCCATTGTTTCGAGCCCATGTTACATTTGGAGTTGGATCTCCAGTGATGATGGCTTTGAAAACGGCAAGCTTTCCTGTGAGAGGGTTTAACAAAGTCAGTTTGAGTACTTCTGAAAAACACAGTCATTATGTCTGTTCTTTCAGCATTAAAGATGCTTTGAGCTGCTGTACTCTATACCTTCCTGAATAGTCAAGGCGATGGGTTTGCGAGAGAAGTCGGGATGGCTTTTTCCTGCTGGGATGTTCTCCACAAACTGTGTGATCATTACTCCTGGGACTTTAGATCGCTTCTTAATGGCCACTGAGGAAAGAAAAGAGAATTGTAAAAGCTGTGATATAGTTCATACTTGAAATCAATGGATTTTGAAAAGGTTCTCAGTGATTTTATTTATTTATTTATTTTACTGAAGATATATATAGACGAATTTCTACCTTGCCCAGCAGCAGTGGGTTCCTTTTCCTTACTTTTTGTAAATTTCATCTTGGCATGTGGGATTCAGAGAACTCGGTCCTGTGGGATGATTAACATTAGTTATCAAAAAATCATTACAATCATGACATTTTAACTCTTTTGCAGTTCCCCCAAAATCATTTACAAAATGAAAATTGTCATTGTTTACATTCTCATATTCTTCCAGAGTTTCTTTATTCTGTAGGAAAAAGATGAGATGAGATATTTTGAATTGTTTTTGCAAAAGGAATCTTTTACTCTATTTTATAATCTAAGTTGACTGCTGTAACCGGACAATTTATGTCAGTGATTTGAACGCAATAATTGGATCAGAGAACAAATTGTTCTTTTGTTTTTATTTTTATTTTTTTAACCATTGATTTTACAAATCAGCCTAAATGATTCATTCCCTAATTGGACTGATTTATGATTTGTGTTAGTTTTGATCTCTTTACTATAAACTGCATGGATTTCTTTTGTGAAATGTATTTTGTGTATTTCTGCGTTCCACAAAAAATAATAGATTTAAAAGATCTAATACTGACAGATAATGACAGATTTTTCATTTGTGGTATTATTTTAATTTAAGTTTTTGGAATTTGAAATGTGATTTTTAGACCCATTTGAAATGAATTCTTCTAACTATAGTTCTTTTGTTGTATTTGTTAATGTCGATGTGGTTAATCTTTCAGGTTTTGTGATTGTTGCAAAATTAGGGCAAAGTTCAAGAATATATTGCCTTTGAAAAAGTGCTAGACGTGGTTCTGATGAGGAAGCATAATTAATTTTTGACTCGGATCATGTCTGGTCCCTGAGGCAGGGAGCATGGGTGCTTAGCAGCAGGGCTAAGCTAAGCGCTTCTGTCAGCTTTTCTCTACAGCAACATGAACACTCCAGCTGTCTAGAATGTAATTCATGGGCCAGTCACTGGAAGAAAAAAAAGCTGGCAACAGTGTCACTTACACTGATCTGCAACCTCGGGATTTAGGCAATATGTCTGCAACAGGAATGTAATGCTGACACATTTCGAGTAAACCTCATACCTCCTGAAATCTCTATTAGATGGGTTTCTTAGAATGCAGATTGAGACATTGTGTCTGGAGGTTATGGCACTAATTTGTTAGTTAGAAATATGCAGCAATTATGTTTTCTTTGGATTACAACTTTGATTCATATTGAGAAAGGACAGGGTTTAAAAGCCTCTTCTAGCAAAAAAGCCTCATTAGTTTAGTTTCTGGTGAACTGATGAGTGGTTGTGACCATGTATATTGAATGAAAGACCTAAATTGACATACTTGAAACTACATTCAGCTATTTCAAAAGTGTGTAATCAAATTCATCAAATGCAGGAGAAGAATAGAATTGATTCACAAAGAACTGTGTTATTGAGAATAGCATGATAAAAATGCATTGAAATTGCCGCATTCTTTAAAGTAGCAATTTAAAGCGTCTATAAATTGAGGACTTTATATATGAGAGGACTTTATATATTATTATATAGCATGTGCCTAGTGGTGTGAGCCAAGTAGCCCTGCATTTTTGTCTGTTATAGGTCACATACCTCACAAAACTATCCATCAAAACACCTCTGACGCACACTCTCATCTTAAATGCAGAGTGCCAGCATTTTTCAAGAGCTTTATTTCTCCACAATCTCCTATGATAGTAATACTATTCCCAGATGCATTTCATAACTGCTAGATTGAAAGGTTTCATAAACTATACTTTTCGTTTCCGTTTTATATTTATGTGTAGCAGTCGTCTAGGTGATATGTTGCATATATACAGTATGTGCATCCAAAAGAATTATATATATATATATATATATATATATATATATATATATATATATAT